AATAATAGCATAGCTAGAGGAGGAGTTGAGTTGGCTTTTGGTAACAAAAGAGTGGGAGCTGCTTCACAGTTTAGCTTGCCACAACAAGCCTGATTTTTAATCCCTCCCCACCTTGTAACTTCCTCAATAAGAAACTGGTCTTCCTGAAATTTCACGTCATATCTCACCCCAAGGTAGCATTGTTTTCTGGCAAGTGTGGTGACAATTGACAAAGGAGTTTTAAAGTTAGTGTTCTGAACATGTATCCATTTCCCTTTTTCAAGCTGATCTTGGCTTTCTCTGGCTCTGGATATCTGCAGGGTGAGGCTAGCCTAGAAACCGCCTGTTTGTTTTGTTTGTGCTGACCTTGGGTTCCCATTTGGAGGGCAGAGTTAGTGGAGTGGTTTAAAAAAGGTGCAAGCCGTTCATGCCTGTATAAAAAGCAGCATTGATGCTGTCAGTATAATAAAGGTTTGTGAAACAGAAACAGACTTGCTGCTGACTTGCAGGGCAAGGTGAGGGGCAAGGATTGCTGGGGGTGGTGGTGGTGGAGAAGAGTAAGTGATACCGGGTATTACCCTAGAGTGGGAGTCTGGGAGTGGTGTATGGAGAGGGGGACAGGAGAGGTTGGCCTGGAGCCATGCTCCAGGGGCATAGAACAGGGGGGCTGTGGGCAGGCAGGATGCTAGAGGAAGTGGGGGCAGGATGCTGATAGGACACGGAGGAGTATGCAGGGGATCCCAAGGGCCAAGAGGATCATGGAGAGAGGGGAGAGAGCATGGGGTAGATTGGACACAGGTGCAGTGGACCAGAAGAGGAATGAAGGGGGGTGGAGGAGAATAGAGAAGACCTGACTAGTGGTGTATAGGGGACAAAGGGGAGTCATTGAGCAGAGGTGGACTGTACCGGGGTTGATGGGGCAATAGAAGAGAGGGCATGGAAGGAGGTGCAGGATACTGGGAAGCACAGGAGTCATGGAAAGCCCAGGAGAACACGCAGAAGGGATGATGGAAGGAGAGCATGGGTGGAGGTATACAGGGGAACGATGGGTGTGTGTTCAGGGGAGATATGGAAGTTACAAAAATCCCAATTGCTATTCAAGGAATCCGTTCCTAGTCATGTCGTTTGTCTGAGATTTAGAACTTCTCAGAGAAAGCTGCTTACCAGGAGATCTAAGAGAGATTGCCTCCCGTCCCGCCAGTATTTAAACTCAAACTGTTGTTAGATGTGCTATTGAGGTAGGGTGGGATCCACGAAGGGACTTAGATGTGCAATGCTGAGTGTCACGGCACCTAAACTTGTAGGTATGTACAAAATAGAAGGAACAACACTGCAATCCACAAAGCTGAGCTAGGCACCGAGGCTCCTAGACAATGGATGGGGGGGAGAGAAGTGCCTTAGAATGTGATCCACAAAAGCCAGCGCATTAGGTGCCGAGCTGCCTAAACTAGCCAATGGAAGATGCTGACCATTCCAGGTGAGTGCTCTAGCTAGTGGGCTAAGAGTTCATAGAATCATAGACTCATAGAATATCAGGGTTGGAAAGGACCTCAGGAGGTCATCTAGTCCAACCTTCTGCTCAAAGCAGGACCAATTCCCAACTAAATCATTTAAGGTAGGCTCCTCTTCCTTACTTCCTATGTTGAATGGGACCTGATAGGGCCCTGCACATGACTTAGGTGGCCGAGCATCTGTCTTATCACAGTTCGTGAATTGCTCTAGGGCAGTGGTCTCCAACCTTTTAAAGCACAAAATCACTTTTTGAATTTAAGTGCAACCCAGGATCTACCCCACCCCTTCCCCAAGGCTCTGCCCCTTCCCTGAGGCCCCATCCAGCTCACTCCATCCCTCCACCCCCACCCCCGTCGCTCGCTCTCCCCCACCCTCACTCACTTTCACCGGGCTGGAGCAGGGGGTTGGGGTGCAAGAGGGTGTTCAGGGTGCTGGCTCTGAGAGGGGGCTCAGGGCTGGGGCAGGGGATGAGGGGTGTGGGCTCCCGCTGGGCAGAGCTTACCTCAGTCAGCGGGGCTAAGGCAGGCTCCCTGCCTGCCCCAGCCCCGCGCTGCTCCCAGAAGCGACCAGCAGCACATCCCTGCAGTCCCTGGAGGGGAGGGGGCATGTGGCTCCACGCACTGCCCCTCCTTGAAGGCACTGCCCCCACAGCTTCCATTGGCTGCAGTTCCCCGTTCCCGGCCAATAAGAGCTGCGGGGGTGGGACTTGCAGGCAGAAGCAGCACACGGAGACCCCCCTGTCCCCTCCCTCTGTAGGGGCCGCAGGACGTGCTGCTGGCTGCTTCCGGGAGCAGCACGAGGCCAGGGCAGACAGGGAGCCTGCCTTAGCCCTGCTGCACCACCGGAGTTTTGGCGGACGGAGACTGCGATCGACTGGCAGAGGCTCCACGATTGACCAATCGATCGCGATCTACCAATTGGTGACCACTGCTCTAGGGCTTAGGCAGGAGATAGGTGTCCGGATGCCTAACTGAGGCAGCAGTGTGCATGCCCATAGGCAGAAATCTAGACACCTAGGGAATGTTTACTCTGGAAAAACTTAGGCGCCAAGTGAGTTCAGGCACCTACAGGGATCAGTGAAAGTTTTGTGGATCACAGTGGAGCCAAAACTGGGAGCTGGGCACCTAAATCTGAGGTTAAGGTGCCTAAGCATCAGATTTAGGTGCCTAAATACCTTCATGGATCCCAGCCATAGTGCCTAGCAGCCCCAATCGTGGACATGGGCCAGGACCCCATTGTGTAAGGTGCTGTACAAACACAGAACAAAAAGATGATCCTGGCCCCAAACAGCTTACAATCTAAGACTGAAATAGCAGGGCCCAACTCCACACTTAATTTTAGAAAATATCTTTGTTTTTAAAATATTCTGCTCTGTCTTATTTTCAAATGCTGTTTAATTCTGTGATGCTTTTATTTTTCTCTTCCTTTTGAACCCAAGTAGCGGGAGACAGAGATGCTGTTTATCCCAGAACATTGCAAATGTCCCTGTTTGTTTTGAATGGCAGTTACAGGACAGAAATGTCACACTACAAAAAGATTATCTTCCAGCACAGTTCACCATCCCTTTGGGAGCTCTCGGAATGCTTTTGAGGTGCTTTAGACCTATGATGAAATGAGTCCCTAGGTAACAACCATTCTGTCACCCTGAATGTTAATTTCTATTCATTTGCCTAAGAGCCAGAGAAAAGTGTCTTTGTTGTAGAGTAACATTTTGTACATATATTTTATTAGGAAAAGGGGATGGTTTGGGGACTAAGGCAGCAGACTTGGCACTGACTTGGGTTCTACTCCTGGCACTGCTGTCGTACTGGGTAGCCTTGGGCAGATCATTTAGCCTCTTGGGGCTGAGTCTCCCCCTTGGTGATAAAACCCAGTGAATGCTGGGAGGCGACAATCATTAGCGTTTGTAAAGCTTAGAGAGTTGCTTGGATGGAAGGTGCTGTAGATGCCAAATAATGAGACCTAGGTGGTGTAAAGCCCTTCCTATGTGGGGATTTTTTTAAATGTGTGTGTTGGGGGGGGGGTACATTTGTATTGCTTATTCAAGGTCTGGAGCTAAAAGCACTTGACTGAAATTGGAACAGGCAAGGGCTGTGTAAGCTGCATCCCGTGCCTCAGCCCAGACACTTTCATCGTGACCCAAGATGCCCCGTCTAGAGTCCAGCTCTAAATCTGAATAACCAGGCTGAGTTGTTTGATGCTCTTCCAAAGTACCCAACTGTGGATTAGGAGGACGCCACCAGCCTGGTGTCCACCTACATGCAACAAGTCTGCAGTCTTTCTTATGTAGATCATAACATCGCATTCCCTGCTGCCAGTAAGGGAAATGCTGAGTCCCCTGCCCTCTGTGAGGTAGGGTGCGCTCCCAGAGCACAGCCCCTCAAGGCACAGCCTTACAGGCAGCCACCCTCAGTCCCCTCCTTGCACCGCAGTTACATGATCACAGCCCACTATGTAAAGTCAAGCTCCCCTTGCTGGGGTTCAGCTTATTCTCCCTTTAGGAACTGCAGCCTGCTTTTCCAGCTTCACCCTCAATCCTGGCTCCCCCTCCAGATAGCTCTGAGCCAGGGAGCTCTGCCAGTCCTTCTGACACTCTCTGGAGAGGCTTTGTTTTCTCCTCCTGTCCAGATTCCCAGGCTCAGACCTCCAGCTTCCCCCTGGCTAAAGAAGGTCACAGCCCTCCAGCCCAGGCTGCATAGCCAGGCACACTCCAAACCACCTGCCCTTTCTCTCCCCCCAGTCAGCAAGCAGCTGCATTTTTATCCTGTGCAGGAAGTAGCTCACTGATTACACCCCCCAAGTCACCAGCTTGTCTACTCCTCCCTTAAACACCAGGTTCTTAAAGAGGCCACGCCATGGACCAGGTCTGGCTGGCCCCAAGCCCCCTTGCTCCAGAGAGGGTCCAGACCACCCTGTTATGGTGTGGAAGGCCCACACGCACCACAGGGGTCAAGGCTGCTGTGGTTTTATAGCCTGGAGAGTAAGTTTGGGGCAAGGGTAGAGGCAGGCAGAGGACAGCGTTGAGGAGTGGTCAGTGGATCTTTGACTGCACATGTCTAGAGGCCGCCACAATGGAGTCATATAGCTACTTTGCTCCTTTAACTCATACCTACTTGGTCTGGCACTCTATCCTCCACTAGCAGTGGCTGGTCCGCATATAGATAGATGGATGAGCCTGCTACAGCTTTGCCGAGTAGAGGTGGGTCTCTGAGCTCACGCAATAGCAGTTCTGCTTTTACATCCAGAGGTTCTGGGTTCGATCCCTGCTGCCAATGAGCCCTGCAGGGGCGCAGCATTATACAGCCGGTTTGCAGGTTCAGGGGATTCCTTCCTCCCTGAGTCTATGGTGGGTTCCCACACAGACCCCGTTTGCAATGGCTGTACGTGTGGCATGTAGCATTTGCCACATTACTGCGGGTTTGTTTCTATCGCACGTAGATTGAGACAGGGAGATAAGGTTTTGAAAATGCTGTTTCCAGTGAACTTGTCCTTTGTGCTTTTGCCTAAAGGGATGCCAGGAGGAGACATGGCAAAACCACTCCTAGGTCGCCGGAATATGGAGAGCAATCCAGATCTCGCCCCGGCTGCTGGCCGAACCGTAGGGATCCTGGGAAGTGGAGACTTTGCACGCTCGTTGGCTACACGTCTGGTGTACTCGGGTTTCCAGGTGGTGGTCGGAAGCCGCAATCCAAAGCGCTGCGCGGGCCTCTTTCCTTCAGCAGCTGAAGTAACTGCCCAGGCAGATGCTGCAAAGAAGACGGATGTTATTTTTGTGGCCGTTTTCAGGGAACATTACTCCACGCTCTGTGACCTGACGGATGTGCTGGCTGGCAAAATACTGGTGGATGTCAGCAACAACACTGAAATTAACCATCACAAAGAATCAAATGCCAAGTACTTGGCTTCTCTTTTCCCAGCCTGCACTGTCGTCAAAGGATTTAACGTGCTATCCGCATGGACCTTACAATCAGGTCCCAGAGACGGGAATAAGCAGGTATTGTTTTCTTTTATTAAGGGCCAAATCCTACAGACCTTACTCAGGCAAAACTCACCTGGACTTCAGGATTTGGGATCTGACTGTGTTAGTTAAGTGCGTTACTTACTGAGAGAAGTGAGATCTAGTGGATGGAACACAGGATGGGGCAAGGACAACAACCAGAAATTGCTAAAATCTAATCCTAGCACTAGTGTGGAAACTGTCTGTGGCCTGGGACAAATTCATTTTATTTCTCCTCACAGAAGTAAGCTGTGTGGATCTGTTAATTTTGTAGGGTAGTGAGCAGCTGCTAAAAGCACCATGTGGCTGAGTAGCATTGCTATTTTAACGTGAGATGTAAATATATATATTTTTTCAATCTAGGCCAAAACGGTTCTGTCAGCCAATTTTCGTAAGTAGGAAGATGACCAAAAGTATTTGAAGATTCCTAACTTCCTTATCTCCTTGGTGCCTCCTCTATCAGAGGATAATAAAAGTGCTTACTTGGCTCACAGCGATGGGGTGAGGTTTAATTAGCTTTGTAAAGCGCTTTGTGATCTTAGGATAGAACGGTCCATATAAGTGCAACACATTATTTATGTATGTATTTACTTGGACTTAAACACACATCTAAATGAATGCCTCTCCTGGGCTTCCTGCACCCTTGGCATCCATTAAAAATACAATATGACATGACTACATTGCTGTTAGGAATCTAGGCCCTTGTTAATCCAGATTCCTTCCCAAGTGTGTTTCCTTCGCTTCACGTCTCTGTTTGCCCATTAATGTATCTTTTGGTTCATTGCAGGTCTTGATTTGCTGTGATAATCAAGAAGCCAAGCGTATAGTCGCTGAAATTGCTCAAGTCATGGGGTTCACCCCTGTGGACATGGGCTCCTTGTCTTCAGCCTGCGAGATCGAGAACATTCCCCTGCGCCTCCTCCCAGCTTGGAAAATCCCTGTCTTTTTGGCCCTGGGTCTCTTTCTCTGTTTCTACACTTACAACTTCATCAGACAAGTCTTACACCCTTACATCCGGGAGCAGAAAAACAAGTTCTACAAGATCCCAGTGGAGGTGGTCAATAGCACACTGCCCTGCGTAGCCTACGTCATGCTCTCACTCGTTTATCTACCCGGGGTCCTGGCCGCCTCTTTCCAGCTGCACTATGGCACAAAGTACAGACGCTTTCCAGACTGGCTAGACCAGTGGCTGCAGCACAGAAAGCAGATTGGTCTTCTGAGTTTCTTTTGCGCAGCCTTGCATGCCGTGTACAGCCTCTGCTTGCCCATGCGCCGATCTCATCGGTATCAGTTAATCAACGCAGCTGTCAAGCAGGTAGTACCTTCATCGCCCAATCAGTGCATGGCATAATCTTATACATCTGCCCAAACCCTGTGGAGCAGTTCTAGTATTTGAGCCATATGTTTAGCTCTCGATGTTTCCCACTGAATGAGCCCTGTCTCATGTGAGTTATTAGCTGTGCATACGCCCCATTCCCAATGGTGACACTGGGTCACTGTGGAAGAACAGGTCAGGTTGGCTGGTGCTCTACTGCCCAGCTGATAGCTGTACTTGGAACTCTGATCAGCCATGATAAGTGCCATTCCCAGCAAGAGGTTCCCAGTCTCTTGTGTCAAGTTAGAGAGTCGAGCTTCCCATTGCTCCTGAAAGGAATAAAGTCAGCCGAATCCGCCTCCTGTCTTCAGGGATTGCTGAGCCCTGTGTAAGGTTGGGGAAGTACTGGAGGCGGAGTGGGGGCAGAAATCCTAACCCAATGGAGGAGAGCGGGGTTTTTGAATTTTGCTCTCTCTCCCACTGCGTGTTACTTGCAGGATTGCAGGCTTTTAATTCTGGACACACTATTTGTGCCGTTCTATGTAATTTTGAGTTCACAAAACGTTTGTGGGGTTTTCCACTGTTTCTTTTTTAATATGTTTTCAGGTAAAGTGTAGGGGGGTGGGAGATGGGGGGTGGGTGGGAAAAATCCTGCTAGTGTTACTCTAATTCTCCTTGGAGAAGCTATTGCACTAATTCCAGTGGGCAAACTCATGCTAGAGTAAACTAACTCTACTCATTGGAAATTGCTTTATTTGGGAGGTGTCTCTGGCTTTGCCATGATCTTTGCTTTTTGGGAGGTGAGGTGCTCTCACTCTCACCTGTGCTTTACATCTGTGCCAGTCACAAATAAATGCCAGACAGGATTTCTGTGTTCACTTCCCTTACACCTCCTATTTTCTAGCAATGTCCTTGCTAAGTGAATTAAGACCATTTAATGAGATAAATGGATTGTTCTAAATGTTGACCTCTGCCATACAGTATAAATCTCATCTTGGCTTCAATTAGCTTGAACAGTTTTCCTCGTAAGTGCACTTAAAATGAATACCATTAGGAGGCCACTTTGTATTCAAGTATTCAAAGATCTGTACTTTTGCTCTTGGCTTTAAACTGACTTTTCATGTTAATTGCAGTTCTAAATGCAACTTCAGGGCTTGATCCTGAAGGTGCTGAGTACCTGAAAGTCCTCTGGAGGGTAATGGGAGTTGTGGAGACTTGACACCTCTTAACATCAGGCCGTAAATTGAGTTTAGTGGATCATGAAGGCTAACCTATCCCGTTCCTCCCAAATAAAGTTCCTCCAGATGAGGCATGTTGGTAGGGCAGAGTGGGGGAGCTTCCCCTGCTTGTCCTGTACCTGTTATGTGGCTAAATGACCACGAGGTTAGATCTCTACTCCTACTGCTTCAAAAACTCAAAGCTAAAGGAGATTCTCTGCTCGCAGTAGAGAGATCTATGACATATGCTGTTAAGCAGTTCTGATTCCATCCATGAGAAGGCAGTGGTGCAGTTACGCTAGCCAGATCATTAAATGTACTAGTCTAATTAAATGAGAATCAAACATTTAGCCAAGATGACTGCTTTCAATGAATCAGTCAGTCAAATAATGATCTCTGGCACTAACCACTTCCTGTAGAAAAAGCTGCTTAATCTTCATTGTTGTACTAGGTCATGGAGAAGACTGATGCCTGGATCGAGGAGGAGGTCTGGAGAATGGAGATTTACGTCTCTTTTGGAATAATGGCCCTAGGCCTACTGTCATTACTTGCCATAACTTCACTTCCCTCCATCGCAAACTCTCTCAACTGGAGGGAATTCAGTTTCATTCAGGTAAAGTCAATATTTGCCTTTTCCAGAGGTTAAAGGCAGGATTAGAGCCAAATCCTCCAACAGAGCACGCAGCCTGCTTCCTTGTCTGCAGGAACTGAGCGTGGGGGGCTGGGAAATGGAATCTTCACTGCAGTACCAGCGGGCAGCTGCTACAGCAGGCTGTGGAGAGAAGAACTGGGGCAGAGTCTGCTGCTCCACCCACCACATGATGTTTTGGGCCAATGGATTCATGCACAGTCCCACCGCACTCCTGCCCAGTGAGTGCTTTCTGTGGCCCATAGGGGATGATGTGGAGTCTTGCCTGCATGGCCATCCTGCACGCCAGCCTGGGGAAACATTTCCACTCTGTTTGGGGCTTTGGTCTCTCGCAGAGAGGGCTGGAGGATCTAGCCTTTATTTTGAAAGGCGTCGGGTTTCTTCTTGTCCCTCTGCAATCCTGTAACGTCTGTTAGTGAGCTGCATGCTGATTAACGGCAGGCTTTGTGCGCATGAGCGACTCTGCTACTTATTTAATGCCTTGTCTGAAACTTTCTCCCTTTGGTTTTTCCTTTGCCACTTTAAAGGGGTTAACTCTGATTTCCTGGCAACATTCCAGCAAAGGCTTTGCCTGCCTAAAATCTCTCCTGCCTGTTCAGTTGGATTCCCCTTCCCTTCCCAGCCTGCACCCTTGCATGATGCTGCCCTGTTAAAAAGCTCTCATAGTAGTTAGAAATGCAAAATGCCTTTTAGGTCATTTTAGTCCCTCTCCCTGCCAGGGTAGAAACGTTCCCTCCGGTTGGCTTGTTCCCCCACAGAGATGGCTGCGTTTCAGTCATGCATAATGTGATGATCGTGCGGTGTAGAGCTTGCAAAGAGCATTGGGACACGTCAGGATGAAAGGCACTATAGAAATGCAAGCGATTATGATTGCTGCAAGCAGAGATCCGTGATTGTTAGGGCTTCTAAAAGACGGATCGTTAAAGGCATTCAGCAGAGGTAGTGTGCTGGGGGCATAGGCTGGCAAGCCTGCAATGTTAACTAAAGTCTTAACTAAGGGACTTATGCCTAATATTATCCATCCTAATAACTATAGTGACAAATACATAGAGGGCTTTATGAAAGTAAAGGGGCTTAGATATAAGTCAGGATTCCCTAATGTTAAGTGCTCCTGCAAAATGCCTAATAAACAGCTAAGTTGAGTCCTGCTGGCACGGAGGAGTTAACTGCAATGTCAGCATCTTAAAAATAGAGGGAGGAGTTGAGATTTGAGTCCTTTGCTTGGAGAATTGCTGATGGTACATTAAAACAAACAAAAGGAAATATTTTTTCACCCAACGCACAGTCAACTGGTGGAACTCCTTGCCAGAGGATGTTGTGAAGGCCAAGACTATAACAGGGTTAAAAAAAGAACGAGATAAATTCATGGAGGATAGGTCCATCAATGGGGGCAGGGATGGTGTCCCTAGCCTCTGTTTGCCAGAAGCTGGGAATGGGCGAAGGGGGATGGATCACTTGATGATTACCTGTTCTGTTCATTCCCTCTAGGGCACCTGGCATTGTCCACTGTCGGAAGACAGGATACTGGGCTAGACTGACCTTTGGTCTGACCCAGTATGGCTGTTCTTATGTTCTTATGTAATCTGTGTAATGGCACCTTGAGCCCATGGAGATGAACACACTGGAAGCACATAAAGGAATAACGTAGCATTTCCATTACTAATGCTTGGCCCTCACATAGCGCTTTAACGAACACTGACTAATTGAGCCTCACAGCCGCACTGTCGTGAGGCAGGCAAACATTATCCTGATTTTACAAGTGGGTTAAGGCAGGCAGCAAGGCTGTGACGTACCCAGAGCTACCCCACGAGTCAGTGATACAGCCAGGCTTTGAGGGGGAATTCCTCTTGCAGGGCTGTGTTCATTAGACCACACTGCCTCTCATCAGAACGGGAGCAGAACAGGTCAGTTCACTCCTTTGATCTGCATTTCGTTGTGGGTTGTCACATAGGTGGATCATCAACATACAGGAGTCTCTCCATTGCAAACCCCCAGGAGCTATGGGATTCCTTTTTAAAAAGCCAGAAGGATCTGGCTTTGATGGCCTCAGGAAAAAGCGCTCAGCTATCCCAGTCATGGGCTCAGTGGAAGAACTTAAATAAAACCGAATACGCATAAAATAAATATCCTGACTATTGAGTAGCCAGATGTCAAAGGGTCTGGGCTGCTCTGGGACTGGTCTGGCACTTTTCGTAGGTGCAGAGCTTCCGGGTAGAATTTTCAGAAGCCCTCAAGCCCCATTTTCAGACGGGACTGAGGAGTCTAAGGATACAATTTTCAAAGGTGCTTAGGAACCACTGTCAGAAAAGACTCAGGAGCCTCAGTCCCATTGACTTGCAATGCGAGTGAGCCTCCTAAGTGCCTAAATTACTTCTGAAAATGGGACTTGGGCTCCCACTTTCACTTTTGAAAACATTGCCCTGGGTCAGACCTTCCTCCTTCCAGAGTCGTGAACCACGCTGCATGCCCGCTCCCCTCCACCGCGGTGGTATGTCTTTGAGTATGTCTACACTGCAACAAAAGACCGACGGCACATCTACGGCTGGCCTGGCGCAGCTCCCTGGGACTCAGACTGCAGAGCTATAAAATTACAGGGTCGCCAACTTTCTACTCGCACAAAACCAAACACCCTTGCCCTGCCCCGCCTCTCCTCTGAGGTCCCGCCCATGCCCCACCCCTTCTCAGAGACCCCACCCACTCCATCCCCCCCCCTCTGTCGCTCGCTCTCCCCACCCTCACTCACTTGCTCATTTTCACCTGGCTGGCTCAGGGGGCTGGGGTGCGGGAGGGGGTGCAGGTTCTGGGGTGGGGCTGGGGATGAGGGGTTTGAGGTGTGGGAGGGTGCTCCAGGCTGGGACCAAGGGCTTTGGAGGGTGGGAGGGGGATCAGGGCTGGGGCAGGGGGTTGGGGGGGTGAGGGCTCTGGCTGGGGATGCGGGCTCTGGGGTGGGGCTTTGGATGAGGGGTTTGGGGTGCAGGAGGGTGCTCCAGGTTGGGATTGAGGGGTTCGGAGGGTGGGAGGGGGATCAGGGCTGGGGCAAGGGGTTGGGGCCTGGGATGGGGGCGGGAGTGCAGGCTCCAAGCGGCGCTTTCCTCAAGCAGCTCCTGGAAACAGCAGCATGTCCCCCCTCCAGCTCCTACACGAAGGTGCAGCCAGGCGGCTCTGCACGCTGCCCGGTCTGCAGGCACTGCCCCTGCAGCTTCCATTGCCCACGGTTCCCGGCCAATGGGAGCTGTGGAGGCGGCGCTTGGGGCAGGGGCAGCAGGAGGAGCCCTCTGGATGCCCTTACACGTAAGAGCCAGAGGGGGGACATGCCAGCTGCTTCCAAGGAGCTGCGCGGCGCAGAGGCTAGCAGGAGCCTGCCAGCCCTCCTGTGTGGTGCTGCCAACCGGACAGTTAAAGGCCCGGTCAGCACTGTCAGGATCCCTTTTCGACCAGGTGTTCTGGTCGAAAACTGGACACTTGGTCACCCTACTCAAAGGCCAGGCTCCAGCCTGAGCCATAACGTCTACACTGCTATTTTTAGCCTTGCAGCCTGAGCCCCTGTCAGCTGACCCAGGCTCTGAGACTTGGTGCCTCATGTTTGTTATCGCAGTGTAGACATACCATGCACACACGGTCCTGGAAGCCAGCACAGTTGTCTCTTACTAGTGCATTTAATAAGAGCATAGTACAGGCCCTTTGGCAACCATTCTCAATTCATTCTAACCATGTGTTAGCGTTGGTATCAAACAAATAAATGACTCCCTATTCCAAAATAGCTCCTGGCTCCTCTGCATTATGATTGGCTGGCTTAGTGTATGGAAATCCTGGCTCACTTACTCAGGAGGGGGCAGTCAGGGACAAGGAGAAGGGAGGCTTAGATAGGGGGTGGGGTCCCAGAGGGGGTGATCAGGGGACAAGGAGCAGGGGGTGTTGGATGGGTTGGGGGTTCTGTGGGGGGCAGTCAGGGGGTAGGAAGTGGGAGGGAGTGGATAGCGGATGGGACTACCCCCCCATGGAGTGTCCTCTTTTTTGAAAGTTCAAATATGGTAACTCTACACTTACACCTATTTCTGTAAGTGCAGGATAACAATACGACTTTGCAATACAAGCTACCCAGCTGATTGGAATGCAGAAAAGGCAATGAAGGTATTGAGACTTCCTGTGGACATATCTTGTTGGAGAAGCAAGTTTAAACTTTTTTGAAATGCTAATTTCTAGATTTTCCAACAAGGAATTTTTGAATTATTAGTGTTTAAGCAAATTGGCAATGCATTTCCTGATAGCTGGAGAAACTAACACAACAGTAATAGATGCATTTATTATCCTTGCACATTAGCAGTGAAAGTGCACGTGCAGATGTTTATTTTTTCCTGCTAAATGAAAGCATGGTGGAATATAATATATTCTTGTTCACTGTCCCTTTGAAGCAGTCACTGTACAGTGCAGAACACTTTATCCAAAGTGTTTAGGAGTTATAATAAACTTGAGATTTACATAGTTCTTCATATTCAAAATGCTGTACAAAACGTTTGAAAAGACTGAAAGATTTGAAAAGGTGCAAATTGAGCATCTATCAGTATCAAAGCTTTGCTCCCATCTTGGCCTCATCAGTGATGTGTTTAAAATGAAATTCCAAGTTCAATGCTCTTTATTTGCCTGCTTTGAGGCAAATAAAATTGGCCGAGGGTCTTTTGAGAGTTCTATCCATCAGCAATTTTAAAAAATATAAATCCAGGCATTATTTTTATCCAATTCTCATCTGGATCGTTTCAGGCCTCATTCAGTAGTGTGAGCATCATATATTTGTAGTGTTTGATCTCTCTACTCTATTAAAATATGCTTTTGGTGCTTAACTGGCCAAAAACTTGCTTGCGTGTGCAAGCTTAAAGTAGCAACACCACGCCTGTGCTGCTGCACAAACCCAGAGGATTTACTATTTTAAATGTTCAATTTTACAGTAGTCCCTGCATATCTCAATATTTAAGATTAATGGGAACTATACATGATATAGACGTTGCATTTTATTTTCACAATGTTACATGTGCGTAACTTGACTTAAATGAAGAAATTTTTCATCTTCCCTTATGTTTTGTTTTCCCCAGGGTGTTTCAGTTTTAAAACTGTGACTCAAATGGCACACAGGGCTTCCATTTTTGTCATCATGGAATGACTTCCAGATTGAAAAAGGGGTGTGGGGGGGGGGGGAAGGATGTATTTACCTATTAACTTCTAGCCCTGCAGACCCCTTCTGGAATCTGAACGTCAGTCTGACCTGGCTTCTTTCTGGCTCATGCATCACCAGAAATCAAGACTCTGCGATCAGAAGTTCTTTAACCGTTTTGTTGATGATGCGAGAGCCAGAGTGGAATCCAGCTCACTCCCCCATTGCTCTATTGACTCTGCAGTGCTAACGGGAGTACAAGTAGTAGACTTACCAGGAAGCAAAAGATCATTCTGAACACTGCAGCGTACAGACAAGTCTAAACAAGCCACATGGGACAGATGTTAGCCATGGTCATTGATGCCTCATTACTGGAAGGCTCCAGGTACTATGGATATGAGGGTGGTATAAGAACCTATCTACAATAGAAGACACGTGGGAAGCTGATTGATTGAGTAAGGAGGTACTATTTTTACATAGCACTTTTTAGAGTACTTCAACATATGCTGTTTTAATGGAATCCTACATGGGCAGTAAACCCATATGGAAACAGCATAAAAAACTGTATTGCTAATCAGATAGTTTCTTAGCTAGAAACTGAACTGAGAAAGAGAGCAAGAATTACATGACTTCAAGATCCAATATTGTATCAGGGCTAGAAACGCTGGCAAACTAGTACAAGTGTTTTCAGGATGCTTGACAGCTTTTTCATCCTATTAGGCCAGTAACCTGTGAGACTTTCAACCTTGTGCATTCATTTAGCAGCCTCTAGGGATACGTCTGCACAGCAAAACAAATGAACATGGCAGCAGGTCTCAGAGCTGGGGTCAAATGACTCGGTCTTGCACTGTGGGGCTAAAAATAGCCGTGGAGACATTAGGTCTCAGGCTGGAGCCCGGGCTCCGAGACACTCTCGCTTGCCAGGTTTCAGAGCCCAGGCTCCAGCCCGAGCCTAAATGTCTACACTGCTCTATTTAGCCCTGCAGCAAGAGCCCTGCAAGCCCAGGTCAGTTGACTCGGGCTCTAAGACTCACTGCCGCAGGTCTTTTGTTGCTGTGTAGATGTACCCTAGAATGACTTGGTGTCTCAGCTTATGTGCATGTTTTAGCCACGAGGCAGTGCTGATCCCACATACCGACACCTTAGCCAGTGGAGGGCAGTAGCACACAACACACACATTGTAGGAGGACAGAAGGCCCAATACAACTCCCATTATAGTCAAAGACGCCCATTGATTGCTGTGGAAGTCGGATCAGGCTCAAACATCATATTATTATCTAGATGCTCATTTGTATAACTAATGAATTAGCCCACTGTTGCATTCTAAGGAACTTCTACTCTGATTCTGGACTGAGTTATAGCCTTAGCTAGGAATTCCTTGCCTATTAGCGTTTTGTTTCAGGTCACAAGGTTCACGTCATTTAAAGGTCGGCTTTTTTTCATTTAATACTAACTGATCCACTGTGATGCTTTGTCCTAACTTTTGCTTCTGCTTCACTTCTACCAGCAGTTGTTTAAAAAGAAACTGAAGGGAAAAAAATAATTAACTTCCGCCTCAAGTGCCATAAGTTATGTGAAAACCCTTTTGGATTAACTCTCCCAAAGAACACACCTTGCCTAATGCAGAATGTTATTGCTTCACTTTGTACATTTTTTTCTCTCCCCATTTTAAATCTTTTCTCTGAAAGATTAGTCATAAGCTGGTACTTCCTGCCACTTTTCACCCAGGGATTTTTGGCTGCCGGTGAGAGCTAACAGCAAATAAATGATGTATGAGCCATGATGACTCGATGGCTGCTGTTAGGAGCACTGTATCTTTCAACTGCAATCAGGGCACATTCCGGCTAGTTATCATTCTTAATTTTCCAAATAAGATGAACCTCTCCTCATCTAGTTGGGGGGCTTGTTATCGCTTAGGCTTAGGAATTTGATGAGACTTTGAGTAGGAAGGAAGGATAGGTTTGGTATGAAGGATGCTCTAGTCTAGGGGATAAGGTGCTGCACTGGCATTCAGCAAACACATGTTTGAGTCCTAACTCTACCATAGACTTTCTGTAGAACCATGGATAAGTCCCCCATCTGTAATGTGGGGATAATATTTCTCTAAATCATAAGAGTGTTGTAAGGATGAAATCCAGTAATGACTCTAAGGTGCTCAGAATGATGTGGGTCATTTAAGTAGCTAACTATATACCACTTATAGGGAAGTAGACTCCATAGAGCTTCTTTCTTCTCCACTTCCCAATCCTTTTAAATGCCCAATTAATTACACTGAGGGACAGGTACAGTTGGGCTGTTTGTCATTATTAACCAGGTTACTTTTGAGAAATCTGGTATAACTGTCGACTAACAATCACAACCAGGAGGAAACATTTTAGAAGCAGCAATTTACAGCTGATTTTTAGTATCAGAGGGGTAGCCGTGTTAGTCTGGATCTGTAAAAAGCAACAGAGAGTCCTGGGGCACCTTTAAGACTAACAGATGTATTGGAACATAAGCTTTCGTGGGTGAATGCCCACTTCGTCGGATGCATCTGATGAAGTAGGCATTCACCCACGAAAGCTTATGCTCCAATACATCTGTTAGTCTTAAAGGTGCCACAGGACTCTCTGTTGCTTTTTACAGCTGATTTTTATTTTCCAAATAAGATGATTTGATCTTTACTCCACCCCATCATTCCTGCTGCCCTCCTCCCCCCTCCTTCCCCCCCAATCACCCAACTTGGCTTCTGGAAGGCAATGTTTCTTGGCTATGACTAACAAGAAGCATTGATCAAGATTTTGGGGGGCTAAAGTTAAGCGCCTAAGTCCATATTTAGGCTCCTAAATAAGTGGCCCTGCAGCAGCTGCTGGCTGTGCAGGCCTCTTAAAAACGAGCCATTGAATACGTGCTTCCACCATAGCATACACTTGGGATTTGCCCCAGTTGCAGCGATCAGTGGGACCTGCACAAACCCAGAGTGGAGACAGGGAAACCACTGTAGGTTATCATTTACACCAGCTTGTTTCTGTTTCAATTATTCACTCAACCTCTATACGCCAGTTTCCCCACCACTAACTTGAGGATAGCACGTATTCAGAAGTGGTGAGAGTTCGTTAATGGTTATACTGCGCGTCGAAGATGCTTGTCTTGTCTAGAGCCCAGTCCTCACAGCGATGCCAATGGCAAATCCCCCATTGACGTTAGTGGGAACGGATTTCGAATCCTTAGCTATTATGCCCTGCAGACAGGGAATGTCTTACTTTAGCAAAGTGCCATGTAAGTGTTCAGGGCTTTATTTACGCTAAGTATTGCTACTGTGAGAAGTGTGGCACCTCAGTAAATAGCATGTTTCTTTTCCTTGTAGTCCACCCTTGGATTTATTGCCCTGGTAGTCAGCACCCTACACACCCTCACCTTTGGATGGACAAGGGCCTTTGATGAAAACCAATACAAATTCTATCTGCCGCCAAGTTACACACTCACACTACTGGTACCATGTACTGTGATCTTAGCGAAAATATTCTTCCATTTGCCCTGTATCCACCAAAGACTGCGGCGCATTCGGAACGGCTGGGAAAAGGGAAGGTACGTGAAATTCACACTGCCCAGTGCAACTGGTGAATATTCAAGCGGAGAAAGTTCCAGTAATGTGTAGCAGAGCATCTCTTATTGATGGAGAATTTCAAAGCACTATGAAGATTTCTTGAGGTTTTTCATAATTGTGTATGTTTGGTATAATTGCCTTGTGGGTTGATATTCATAGTTGGTGACTTTAGAAAATCAGTTACTGTTAAATTAGTTTGCGCAGTAATATTTAAAATATATTGCTGATTTGCTAGCATGATTGTTGCCTTAAAAAATCATCATGACATTTGAGAGAGCAGCTGTAAATATATGTAGAAAACAAATGGAATTCTATGGGTCGTATTGGTCGATTGAGACAGTAGCTGGTGGTACTCTGTACTGACGCTTCTCTGTTGGGGCCCCAGCTGCTCTCTTTTTTAAATAGCAGGGGGGACAATTTGTATCCCATATGATTATGAAGAAATCCTTCTGCATGTGTCACCTGATGGACCATCTGAATCTGCTGCTAAACCAAAACAATGGTTCTGAGCAGTGTGAGCAGTCCCTGGGGTTCTTCCACATGGGAAGTTGACTCTGAAGCTGAGTGAGGGCAGTATAAATCTCAGCACAAACTACTTAACTCCTGCCACCATAGCAGAAACATCCAGTGACTTGGAGAACTGTGGGATGTGTTTCCAAACCTGACCCCCGGACACAACAAATTGGATGGCACATCTCAGTATTCACGACTTTCTCAAATGTGGACAGTGCATTTTTTGGTCTTGTAGATGTGGGCGATGCATGTGCATATTTGTACCGTTGGAAGAGTTGATTTATTTCCAAAGGTTATAATAGATTTTGAAGACAGCGCCGTGCCTGAAGTGCATTTACACCTTAGCATAATCCGCAGTGGTCATTGCGACCACACGTTCTCAGCGATGTGAAACCAAAGTTTAGTGCATCCCCTAATGGAAGGAGTGTAAAGATAACCTCCAAAAGGACTCGCAGCTTCATGATATTGACTCTGGGCATTGGGGAAATGACAGCTGCCAGCTGAATTAGCAGTGAATAATGGGGCGACGCTGTGTGAAACTACTCTGATTAAACTCAAATCCACGTGCCCAACTACATCTACAACAACAACTATCAGGTGCATTTGTTTCACCACCAGCAATGACACATCTCCCTCTCTGTGACAGATCCAGTACCTCCAGAAAATGGAACTTTACATCTGTGAACATTCTCACAAAGGCTAAAACTCATCTGTCTCTGACCAAGTCTCAGTCATGGAATGGACACCAACGCAGCTACACGTTATGGGCCTGATTCTCCAGCGCCTTGCACCTTCAAGAGTCATTTACTCAGCTACAAAGTGAGTATCATACACTGGCATCATACACAGTTACATGCCGCCATGTGTATCATCTCTGGCACCCTGCGACCAACTCCACTCCCATGGCTTCCAGTTCTGAGCAATATTGCTCCTCCTCCTATCAGACGAGAGGTTACCACTGGCAGGTTACTGGAGAAAGTACACGCCAACTCAAGCCTGCCGCTGCACAATGACCTTTTCAAACCACCAGCTGCACGTTTGCCGTCACGTCACCCATTATGGTCTCATCTGCCACGTCAGGATGTTAGAGCGGAAACGTTCTGGTGAGAGGAATGGATATCTGTTCTAATCCCCAACCAGTCCCTTGTCGCCAACCCCACAATTTGCCTGCTTGGTTTTGACCTGCCCCGTCGCCAATGGTCCCTGTTGAACAGGTTCCAGACCAGGCAAGGTGTCTGTGCAGCCAACCAGTATCGCTGGGGCCTTCGGAACAGCCCTTTGTGCAGCTGCGGCACAACACAGACAATGCCGCACATTGTCGAGGAATGCCTCCTGACTAGGGTCAACGGTGGCCTAGAAGAACTGCATCACGCCACTGAAGATGCCATCGCTTGGCTAGATGACTATGCACACGCTAAATAAAAATACTAGCATCGTTTGGCAGAACTTCTCACTTACTTGGCACAGGGGTGAATGATGCCCACACTCTGTGCAAGGCAGTGGAGAATCAGACTCTATATTTGTTTTTATCACAACGATTGTTCAGACTGTCCACAGTCTAAATTAATACACCATTCTTGATTGAAAACAAACCAATGTCGTAGCTGCTTTACAACACATACAAATCCACAGTCTTTGCCCCATAGAGATTACAACTTGTCTGTCTACGACGACTGCCATGCTTTACAACAGATCCTTTAAAAAGGAGAATCAAGAGGAAATAGAAGAATTACATCAAAGTAAGATGTTAGGATCTGGTTGTAATAGCCTTGTTTCCTACAACGGAGTAAAGTACACAAGTTGCTGTTGGACAGTGCCTTGAAGATATGACAGGTGTCAATACCTGAATCACCAGAGAATTTTTAAAAGTTGCTGCTGATCAGAACTTGCTGTTCAGCCTTAAATTGTTGGGGAGAGTAAGACTTACAAGCTGCTACTAATAGTCCCCCGATGATATTCAGGTATTTCTGCTGTTGTGTAAGAATCACCCTGGAATCTCAAAACACCATGTCTTCCTGCTAAATAAAAGGAAATCAAGACAAGAGTCAGTGTGCTGGATTTCACAATCACATGATAATTCCTTCAATAAGAAGGGAGTTATTATGTGTCCCTGTTGTGCCTTTCAGGGCAGGGAGAATTATCGAGAACCCCTCCATGCCCAGATCATTATCTGCTAACATTACTCACAAAGCAGATAGATTTGACAATAATATGTGCAACTGAATGGCAAATTACAGCTTCTGCGAGAGGTCTGAGCCAAAATCACCTCTGGTGTAATTCCATCCACTTCAATTTAACTCCTGGAAGTGAATTTGAATTCAGTCCACTTACTCATTCCAGTCTCCTGCTGTATTTCATCATCAGGCAAAGCCAACATAAAATCACTAGTTTTCACATTTTCTGGCTAAGGTAAAGAATCCTGATTCTGATGCTTAATCTCACATCTGTGCTTCCTCTCACTCCTCTGCAGCAGGCAACCTGGTAGACTGCTACACTGTTAGCAAAAAAAGAGGAGGGGGAGAGAAAGTTGCATGAGCCTTAGGCTTTGTCTTCAGTGTGTGTTTAAAAAAAACAAAAAAAACTTTTTTTTTTTATATCAAGATAACTTTTGCACTGAGACATAGGGTTTGACATCAGCAGGACCACTCACAGAGCAAGAAGTGGTAGGGCTGAACCTGTAGAGTCAGGGGTAGTCAATAGGTGGGCCGTGGGCCAAATCCGGACCACCAGTCACTTTTGATTGAACCCCAAAATATTTGTATTTACTTATTATCGTTATTGTTGGGCTTCTTATTATTTTCTTTGGAGTCTGGATCTTGCCTATACCTTGACCAAGAAATTTGGACCTTGACAAAAAATAAAATTGACTACCCCGGGACCAATTTCTCTACCTACAGAACGTAAGTCCTAACTCGTGCAACTTTCAGAATGGCTCTACCCTTTGGGGTCTATATCCTAAATCCTTGATACTAAAATTTTGAATAATTTATTCTGATTTTGTAGAAATAATAATTTTTAAAAAGTGTTAAGAAAACTTTGGAAATGCTCTTTGCCTTTTTAACTTCTTTCCCCACTGCATTATTTGATGTAGCTAGGGGGTTGAGGAATGTTAGCTTAAACATTTCCTTGTTACTGTTATTACTTTTGTACTTGGTGTTTGTATATTTGTTGCAAGATTTATAGCTGAAATGGCAAGCTGTTTGTATTTTTATTTTCTGTTTTGCTTACTTTGTGCCTTTGGGGTATAAGAACCTATTGTAAAGCTGTGAGAACAGGGCCAGTTTTAATCCTCTTTCATCGTTGGCCTCTTAGTCTTACAATTATAGCTCTATAAAGCTAGAATGAATGTGCCTGTATAATGGCATCATTACTCACTCAATCTTGTGTGCTGTCTCTTTTTCTATAGACAATACAATGTTAATCTAAAGTATCTTTCTATTAAATAAAGCTATCAATAAAGCCACTTGATTGTCCAGGATTTAAATGTGAGAAACAAAACCCACTAACGTAAGCAGCTGGTATTTGCTATTGTGATGGGAGAAGATACTACCTAGAAGGACCAATGCCTGATAGACTTGTCAGTTCTATGTCATATGAGTGTAAGAGGGAATATTCCACATATTTGCATTAGTTACAGCTGTAATAGATATTTAATTATGTAGGCCTTTGTGGGTGCTGACCATGGATATTGTACAAGCTGTTGCAGCTCAGGACTAGCAGAGCTTACTTCAGTAAGCAAAAAGTTGCCTTAATATAGAGCTAAAGAAGAAGGGGACAATGGATGAGTTTAGTGAGAGTGGAAAGATGCAATCTTTAACACTGCCTCTTTGGCCTCAGTTCCTTTAGTCACTACCTCAAGGAAGTGGGATAACAGATCCACCACTTCTAGATCCGCAGTGTAGCATTTTAATGAGCTAGTTTGTAAATTGATTTTAATGAGTTAATTTAAATTCCTGTGCTAAAGTTTAGCCTCTGCGGGTACAGCTCTCTGATGCCTTCCTTATTATACAGGGCTTTTAGCAATGTGTTTGGTCTCCTGCTCTTCAGGGATTTACTTACAAAGTGATTTATCAAACTATGGTTAAATCTTAAGGGGGATGCAATTGCTTGAAAACTGCTATAAGGTGTATTTCATAAAATCTCTCCAAGTCACCAAGAAGACTAGCACAGGTATACTAGCTGTTACATCTGAAAGTTTTGTCACTGTTTGTGTATTCTGTATCTCAAAATTTCATGCATCAAGTTAGTGGAATCTGTAGATTGTGCCTTAGCTTTGAAACAATGGATTTGTTACACTAAGGAGGTTTGGTTCAATTTATTGTTTAGTGAGTGACAGTTTTGCAGAACTCCTATACAGACTAGTTTCCCACTGCCAAGAACTTATGTGAAACTCAGAGCCAGATAATTTAAATTAAACATGTGATGTACAATATGTGGGTACAATATAACCTTATTTGCTGTTCTTGTTCATGGAGCAAATTAATCACTTTTCATAGATGTAGGGCTAGCAAGGATCATTATGACAATCTAAGTTGACCTGTATAGTATTGGCCATGTAATTTGACGATTCCTGCAACAAACCCAATGACGTGTAATTGACCTAGAGCATCTGGGGGGAGGGATAGCTCAGTGGTTTGAGCATTGGCCTGCTAAACCCAGGGTTGTGAGTTCAATCCTTGAGGGGGCCATTTAGGGATCTGGGACAAAATCTGTCTGGGGATTGGTCCTGCTTTGAGCAGGGGGTTGGACTAGATGACCTCCTGAGGTCCCTTCCAACCCTGATATTCTATGATCTCTCTTAGACAGATGTCCACTCTTGATTTAAGGACAGCAAGTGATGGAGGATCTACCATGTCCAGCTGTTCCACTGGTTAGTTACCCTCACTGTTAAAAATATTTGTCTTTGCCCCTGATTTGAGTTTATCTAGCTTCAACTTCTAGCCAAAATCAGCTGTTATGCCTCTTTCTCCTGGATTAGAGAGTCATCTACTATCAAATATTTGCTCTTAAATAGATGTCTCATTCAGTACCCTAGAGGCAGTAGTAGGAAAGCAGATGCTAGAAGAGAGCCAGATTTGCTTTCTGCTAAGCCAGATTCCCCCTGATAAAATAGAAAAAGAAAATGAGAGGCTCAGCTAACACTAATGACTTATAGGGGGGTCTTCCTCTTTACACCACTTGTTTAACTCTGCATGAAGTCATTGACTAAAGACCATTGATCTGATTTAGTTCATGCCGGCTAGATGGTCGTTGAGCCTGAGGATTGACTGCACACCAATGTGGGAATAGCCCAATACTTGACATTTTAAAGTTAAGGCCATTCAAGCAAAGGGGCTTCCTGATCTGGCCTCTTAAGCAGCACATGTGGAGTACAGAACAGGAGAAATATAGATGCCTTGGACATGTTTTCCCAGCCCACTTGCACCCTCATCCCTATAGATCCCATAGGTGCAGATAACAACATTGGCCAAATTAGACCCAAGTGTGATGTAAAATGAGAGCCTACAAGCAGCTCTCAGATGATAGGGAAGCTTTCAGCTGTGCAGCACTACCTGCCGCATCTGGCAGAATGTGAGGCCTAGGGACAAATGCAAGTTGATATACTTTGCACCTTCTTCTGGTCTCTTTGGTGTAGCCACAACCAACTTAGATTTGCATCCAATTTACACTCCTACCCCCACCCCTCTGAATTTGGCCCCTACATTATAAAGGAATTGGTTTCTGTAAATCAGGACTTGCCATAAGATTCAACCCACCAATGGCCCATGAGGAGAAGCCTGCTGGACTGCACTCCATGGATTGCTGGTGGGGTGAAGCAAAATCATGTGGGTTCTAGGGTGCAACAGAGGGTGTAGGAAGATATGAAAAGTTCCACTTTTCCTGCTGTCCCTCTCTGCTCTATCCCTAACCCAATCTCACATCTGCTCCTCAGTCTTCTCCTTCCTTCCCAGCTCTTGGGAGAGCTGTGTTTCACGCGACACCAGGGCCAGGCCCACCACACTCTTGAAGCAAGTCTGCTGCTGGGGGAATAGAGAACACTCCCCCATCCTCCTCACCTCCCCATTGGCACCACCAGTAACCCACCCATCACATTCCCCTACTACCTCATTTTTACATTGGGGTGACTGATATAAAATGAAATTTGACAAGTTATTATGCATCCCTAATGGGAACTAAATGGCTTGTGGATTATTGTACTGATACTCTGGGGGCCTAGGACAATTTTTTGATTATGCACAAAAAAGGTTGAAAATCCCTGGAGTAATTTCCACAGTATGAGACTCCAGAAGAGAGGAGTAAAGCAAGAGAAACAAAACTGGAAGATTTAAGGAAAAAACATCAGACAGGCCAGCCCGCACCCACACTTCAACTTTACTTTCTTTCATCTCCTCTGTAGCCAGCCTTCCACTGGTAAATTAATGCATGTAGATAGATGGGAGACTAACTGTAAGGAAGTCCATTACACCCCCATACGCACCACTTGTTGCCCATTATCTGGGCATAATCTATGTGAACCTCAGCCATCATAGTTGAGTGAATCAATTCACAACACTGCAGCCTGTCACCTCTGTGCACTGGAATTCACATCCCACCTGAGTTGATCAAAGCTCAGATGTGATGGCCTGGAAGACACAATGCAAGATTCCCCTTTTTTCGCTGCACAGGGGGAACTAACGGGAGGGCAGGGTGGAGGGCATTAAGATAATGTGTGTGTTCTGGCTTATGTTGTATTGCTGAAGTTTTAGTGAAGGATTTTGCATGTATGTTTGTGTTTGCTCTGGGTGCTTCACCTTGAAGTTAAGACCGACTTATTTTAAAGCTGATAAATATGCCTCAGCAAACTAAAACTGGTATTTTCCAGACAACACACCAAATGACTGATATGGGGAGATTAACATCCAGGCTGTGCAAAGGTTTAGACACGCTGGAACTGGCTATGCAAAGAATGCTCTTAATCTAACAGGATGAATTTAAGATTTGACACCAGCGTTTTGACTTCAATTTAAAATGCAGCACTGTCTGCAAGGAAAGCGTCTGCGCTCGGCCCCAGAGAGCTAGCACAGGCTCTGCAAGTTAAACTAGTTCACAGAGAACTGTTCTTCACAAATGCTAAATATTTCCTTGCTCATGCAGGCTTTGGAATACTGAAGAACAGGCTGTGCTGACACCTGCTGGCTTTCTCTTCAGACAAAGATACATCACGCGAGTAGCTCTTGGGCTTTGTTATAGTTCTCCTCACTCATTGCACACAACTCTATGGTGAAACTACATTTCTTTTTAAACCAAGAAGTGGACAGGGTTATGTTATGCGTGATTTTCTGAGAACCTGTTTCAGAAGGATCCTTTGACACTCTCCTCATTCAGGTCACGGCTGGGACATAGCTTCTGTTTCGGGAAGGGCACGCATCCCTTAATGGGTGCAAAAAAGAGTTGTGCACCACTAGAGTGAGCCTTTGCTGTCCCAGCTGTACAGCAAATGCTGCATCCATGAAAACCTGCTGCAGTGAAGACGTGGGGGTGGGGGTTGGCAAGAAGGGAAGAGAAGAAAAGCACAAGGAAGGGATGAATGGATTGAGCTAGAAAAGGGAAGGCTTGACATGTTGCCAACCAGTAAACAACCAGTCCAGTGCCACAAAGAACAGCAAAAAGAAGTCTCACCTCTCCTGCCCCTCTTTACTAGACTCATTCATAATTGGAAAGTCTATGTGCAGAAGTCCAGCAAAAAGAAATAATGGGGAAAAGATCGGGTCTCAAAGAAAAGCGGAGCCCTTCCTGAAACACTGCCAGACAATATATAAAGAGGGGCAAGGTGGGGGAGGTAATAGCTTTTTGGACCAACTTCTGTTGGTGAGAGACACCGCTTTTAAGCCATACCGAGCTCTTCTTCAGGTCTGGGAAACTTAGGCTATGTCTACACTACCACTTATGTCGTATAACTTATATCACGCAGGGGTGTGAATAAAACACACCCCACCACCACTCGTAGGGGGTGGAGTAGTTATGCCGACCAGAGAGCTTTTTCCCATCGTCGGCGCAGAGCAGCTACACTAGAGATCTTACAGCGGCGCAGCTGCATTGGATAGTAGTGCCACTGTAAGCTCTAGGGTAGATACCGAGTGTCTCAGCTAAATACGAGGTGGAACAGACTCGTTTAGCATGAGTAGTTAACACATATTGTAAGAGACCATTCAAGGTGAATTGGCCTATTAACACCTCCAGTCCTAGGGAGGATAGGGGGAGGCAACAGCTGTGGGGCAGCTGTTAGTGGGTTATAGATTGTTGTTATAAGCCATAAAGCCAGTGTAGACAGACACACAACTTTTGCATTTGTATGTAATTTAAGGGCTGGTCTACGCTGCCAAGTTTTTTTCGCCAAAAGGCAGCAGAGATGTACGCACTGCAAAGGCACTTTTTGCGCCGACACTCCTCAGTTGCAGCGCTGTAAAAAACCCCACGTTGACA